ACGTTTACTTACGTACGGTACGGTACGGTCGGCGCGACAAAAAAAAATAAAAAAAAAAAAACACATTTTTCTCCGCTTGACAGCGATAACGCGCTGTGAAGAGGCAATAGAAAAAAGCGCGCAAAGTAGTTTAACGGTGCGGCGTGCGATACGACGCACACGAGTCGGAGGGAGATCCAGAGCGCGAGCCGGAGCGCGATACCAGAAAACCGATACCGAAACGTCCTCGCGCCGCCTTTCTGTATTGACTCGCGCCACCGGGAACAAACAAGCGCAACTCCGCGACAATCGCGACAACCGGCCCCCGCGACGGCCTCATCCCAGACTCCGCTCCGCTCGGATGCCGCGTAAAGACGCATTCAATGGAAATCAGGTCAGATTGCATATTCCGCCGGCGCGACAACTCATGCCGTCGCGCTTTCCGCCTAAGCGCACGTTCAGATCGACGCGACGTCATCCGAGAGGATCGTCGCGATCTGCACGGCGCGTCCGTCGAAACGAGCTCGCCGACCGATAAGATCGTCAAAGTGCATCGCGATCGAGTTAAGGTCGAAACCGGACTCGAGTCGGACACCGAGAGCGCGAGTTGAATTTTAAAGCGATCTCACGATCTCACAGACCCGACGTGGAAACGGGATCGACGAAGAATGAACAATACGGCGAAGGACGAGGTCTGACGAAAAGGTAGGAGCGGGGTTTTTACGTTCGTCCGATTGTTCGCCTTCCGGGTCGAATTGCGACTCGCGTACAATCTTGCATTATCTCGCTCGTGAGAAACAACCGGAGAATCGTAACTCCGCGCATAAGTGCGCGCTGCGGTAAGAAAAAAAAAAACAACCGAGGCTATTAACCGATTCGACTTGTGCCGTCGTTGCCGTCGCGTTGCTTAATTCCGATGCACAAGCAGGATGCTACAATTTCCGCGACGTTAATGAACGCCGATGTCTCTGCGCGCGACAGATATGCTCGCGTAAGATATCTCACGGATCTCCATCGAGCACACACCGATCGCGAGTACAGCCCGATCCTGTCCCAGGACAGGTCCTTTTTTCTTTTTGTTTTTCTACGATCACCTCGGTGACGCGGTGACAACGCGCGGATCTCGATTCGGCGCCGCGACAAATTCGTCGTTGTCCTTGGCGAACGGGACACGGGAGCCGTCGCGCGGGATAGCGTACCGTGGCGAGCACTTTTCCGGGTGGAAAGGGGCTGACAGACTGTTGCTTTTCCCCCTGTGTAGCTCCCGGAGCGCGAATTGATCCGCTGGCCCGCGCGCGCCACCCCGCCGCCTCCGTGCACCCCCGCGACCCTGCCGCCGCCAACCTTCAACTCGCGTTGCCTCCACCACCACCACCACCACCACCACCACCACTACCACCGCCGCCTCCGCCGCCGGCGGCATCAGCAGTGGTGCGTTTATTAGATTTGTATCTCTCTGCCCTGAGCGTTGCGAAGTTGTCCGATACGAATCTTTTCAGCCGCGCAGCTGCTTTCTCCCGCGCGGCTTTTCACGCGTTTCCTGGATAATCCTCCATTCTTGAAAATTTCATCAGGCATCTCTCTCCCCGGAAACTCTTGAGAATTTATAGCACTGAATATCCTCGCAACTAACGGACGGGGGTTTCGTCGATATCGGTTAACTACGGTTCAAATTCAGCCGACTGCTTCTCTCATTCTACAAATAGAACGGGAAAGAGACAAGGAGATTAAACAGATTACAATTATCTGACATTAAGGAAATGCTTGTAGTTTAAAATTAAAGTTTCAGATTAAAATCTCATTAAGACAAAATCCATTTGAGCTTAACTAGACAGTAAGTAGTTCCGTTCTCTGTTAGCACGAATTTCAATCTGTTGCAGCTCTCCAATCTTCAATTGCTTACAAGTTAAAGCTTGTGCCTCGATAATCAAACAATCGCTATTCTTCGTAGTGCGGACTTTAGCATCAGTTCAGAGAAGATGACCATGTATAAATTCATCTAAGTAAAACAAATGTATCACGATAAGTATTTGTATGAAAGTTATTATACGTATATATTACTTGTAATAATTAAAAAATTCTTTATCGATGTTTTCAACAGTTTTATCTACGTATACGTAGATAAAATCTCATTAAGTAACAATACCACTTGGTTCGTGGAATTTTATAATTTAATTAAACCTGTATTTTATTTTCTAATGTTTTTTTAATACTTTCATTTCTACAAATTCATTTTTTATTATTTCTATTTTGTCAAATAAAAATTTCATATATATCTTTCACCACATTATAAATTGTAATTGAAATCAATATATAGCATTTATGTATTTTACATTCAATAAACATGAAGTTAATAAATAAATAGCAAATAAATATGAAAATAAATATAGGGCTAATAAATAAATGTGAATAAATATGAAGCTGACTAAATATAAAGCTTCGAACATCTGTCTGTTTCTCTGAATAATTACCATAATTAGATATTTCAATTTATCGATAAATCTATTCGATTTGCTTCAACATTACATCTTTCACGCGTTATCGTTTCTTCATTTGACAATTTAGTATCCATCTTCCTGCCGCGGGAGGGTTTCGTCGTAGCGATCGTCAATGGCATAAACAAGCCTCCGACAACAAGATCGGTTACCAGGAGTGCCGCGAGAGAGATGCAATCATATTGTACCAGCTGGCATTTGAATGTAGGCCGCGGTGACTCCGAGTCGATATTATCGGTGTTATTAAATATTCCGGCAGTAATGATTTTCGCAACGGTTACGCCGGGGGTGGCCCGTAACGATCGTCCCTTTATCGCAAGAGAGACAGAGATAGATAGAGAGAGAGAGAAAGAAAAAGAGTTTCTTGGCGCCAGATCACGTGTATGCACTTATTGACTTTGAAAACCTCTTAACGCTGGTAATTATCCCGCTGATGGCGATAAGGAATTTTCGTATTCGCTGGAAGAAGTAACGGTGTACGTATTTCCCTCATTCCGGAGAAAGTTGCGGCTACCACGTGGCCTTTAAACGATATCGTGACTCGCATTTCTTTTCTCCGCATTTTCTTCCTCCCGTAACAAGCGAGCAATCGATCGCGCTGCGGAAAAACTAATTGCATTATTTTCATTATGGTGCACGCTGAGCGCGCAGTTGACATTGTTACCGTTATTAGATACCACGATATTCACGGAATGGAATTTTTGTAATGGAATATCGCGGTAAATGGCTTTACGCTGTTTAGTGTTAATCTCGTCGCTCGAACGAGCTAAACGTCGACGAGAATTCAGGAATTAAATTCCCTGACTACTTTTGTCCCAAAATAATAAATAATGATAATAAAACATAAATTTGCTCTCAAACGCATAATGCAAATATAATTTTAAAAAACTTAATTTTCTGCTAATAAATTAAACTAAATTTCTAAAATAAGTCTGAAATAAAACAAATTAAATTTTTTTAGATTAAAAAACATGCTGAAATTAGCAACTTGCGAGCGTAATTATAACTCAACAATAATTTATTGTAGAATTAAATATTCATGCAATTAATAAGTAATAGTAAATGAATGTGTATCTTAAACATTTTAGAACACAGCAAGTGCTTCTCCACTTGAATTGCATGGTATTGATTACCTGAAGAACATTCTTTTGTTTCTGTTCTGACATAAATAGCAATGATACATATATGCACTAAGGCATATCGAGCTTACTGCTATATAAAATGTATCTGAGATATATATATACATTGCCACGTTCATTTCTCTTGATATACCTGTGTGATATTTATTTCTGATAAACTCATCACCAATCCATTTAAAAAAAATTATTAATAATACTTTTATCTCATGCACCTAATAATATTTCTTAATATTCAATAGTTATTTGTTTCCCAATTGAGAATGTTATACATATTATATTTTAAGACTATGATGTAATCACTAGATTATCCTTATCCTTATCAACATTTAAAAGGTATTTTGGGAGGTAAAGGAAAAATTTTTGAAGAACGTTTAAATGTATAAATTTTTTTCTACACACAATCACATGACTTTAAAAGAGACGAGAGAAAGAATTCTTTATAAATTTTTCACATAAATAATTAAATTTTTAAAAATGCTATATAAAAAAATTTAATATTTATATATATATATATTTAATATATTTTTTAATATTTTACGCATGTGTATTTTGCAGCATAAATTGTGCGTGTAAATTACATAAATATGTATAGTTTGATTTGCAAGAAATATGCTGTACTTACGCCTACACAGACACCCATTCACACACTTTCTTATGACAGACAGAGAAAGCTGAGAGCGAATCAAAGGAACTAAGAGACTTACCGGAGGAAAACGGAGCAAGCACCTCCTGCCGCTTCTCCATCGCTTCTCGCGTCCTCTTGCTTATTTCACAGCGCACGTTCTCACGTTCTCGCTCTTCTCGAAGACCGCACAGACTGCAACAATCGAAAAATCACCTGAGGAACGACGTTGACGAAATCGCAGCACGCGATGGAACGCTTTTTCAACTGCGGAGCGTCATTGAAGCAACGCTCACGCATTGAGGAATCACGCGTTGTTCGAAACTCTAGGAAGTTGAACGACCGAAGCCAAGTCGACGGCACCGACGGGGGCAAAATTGGGAAACGTTTAAGCGCGCTTTGTCGTCATTCCGAATGCACCCACATTGACAGGTTGATTGGGCGATCGCGATCGCGATCTCGTCGATCTCGTACCGGCTCGTTCGGTATACGTACCCAAGACGCGAGTATTATCCTGCGATAGCCATTTAGCGTCGCATACGCCGTCGTCGCGTCGTTTCTGCCGTTGCAGCCAGCTCGTTCAGCAACACGGAATAATGCAGTTTCGCATCGCCAGCCCACCGTGCGAGACAATCAAGGCACGTCGACCATTTTGTACTGGCGGTAGTGTCGTACACTCTGACCATGCATCCGCGTTGCTGCACCTGAGATACGGATTCCGCCAAGCTGGAACTAATTGGTAGTTGGAACTAACTGCAGCCGACTAAATTATTGTTTACTGTTTATAGGAGCTACACGCGTATCACGCGTCTGGAGAGAATTAGGAGAAGAAGCGGGGGATAATGGACGTTAAAAAAAATCAGCCCTATAACTGTTTGTTTTAGTTGCACTTTCTGCACTTTGTTTTTGTTCTTCCTCAAGTTTTTTCTGACTGCATTACGGATTTCGATGTAAATACAGAAACCGTAGCTAGAACAAAAAAAATTACAAGATTGTAAGAATAGATTATACATGTATTAAATATAATATAATATGCATTAAAAATATAAATGTACGATATAAATTGTATTTTAAAATTCGCGCGCTACTTTAGAGTTTTAGGTTGCAATACTGTATTGTTCTTGCGATTGGCTGCATTGGGATGCGCCGACAACTTATCAGGGTAACGATAGGTGCAGATAGGTGTCAATACGCAGAGTTGTCAGAAGATTTGTCAGAAGATTTGTCAAAAGTTATTATATTCAATGAATACGCGTGATTCAATGATTAAAATCAACGATAAGCCAGTGTTCGCGAACACGTTTATCGAGCGATTGCTAAATACAGATTTCTTTATTTAAACTATATTTTGTGATAAACCAGAGTATAACCTGTGTGTATGATTATAATTACTTGTATTAATTAAAATATTCGCTACTCCGTTCTCATTGTCGTGACAATTTGGGCGACTGAATGATACTATCGCAGTACTATGAAGTTACACAATGGAGCTTTCCGAATCGCGAAATCTTGTTAAGGATTTAGATTTAACCCTTCAACCGCGAATCGCCCCGCGGTATAAAATCTGGCTTCCCCTCGCGACACAACAGGTAACTAAAGATAAATAACATAATGCTATATAAGCAATTATTACCTCAATTTAATAAATATTTCTATACATTGTATAATATTATTTTCAGTTGCGGCTCAGAAGTTTAGTACAAATAATAGGCCATAATCTAAAAGCTAATACAAATGGAGAAGTGTGTTGGTTTTACTACACATTACACAGATCAAGCATGTCGTCCCCCTTGTATACAAGTGAGACGATTGACAATGCAAATCCAAGATGGTCAACTCTGGAAGTACCTACTTTGCATGCCACAGGTTATTCAACAGCCAGTGGTGAGTTTATAATCTGTTAATACAATAGTTAATGTATGTAATTTTGGTATAAGTATATATATATTAATTTATGTCTCATATTCTCATATTACAAGCCTATTGAATCTTTTTTTATAATATAAAATTAATCATTTTATTCCTTTAAACAGAAATTATTCTAAGAGTCTGGAAGCGTTCAACACCAGGTGATGCTAAAACTGATGTAACTCTCTTCACATGGGGAATATCATTCACTGGTTTGGCATATATTGGCCCTAAGCTCCCAACTAACCTGGAAACTGTTCTTAAAGAAAACTCTTTAATATTCCACTTTCATGGCGGCTACTTCACTCCTGTGTGCTGCTTCGTAACAAATCCAGATTTGAAACGATATCTTTACATGAACATAAATGTGTCTGAAGCAAAGAATAGTTATACTGTGAATAAGCTTAGCAGTCTAAGAAGCAAAATGCAGGCACTAAAACAACAGACAGAATCGGTACAAGCACTCAGAGTACGCATTGCTTCGGGCAATGATTTTCACACTCCTAAGTATCCACAAACAATGTTGAACAGATTGTTGCAACCACGAAGGGTAAACAGGGAGAAGAAGATGGAGATTGCGAAAATACGTGAAGAGTTAGAAATGGCCAAATTTCGAACAAAGTTGTTAGAACAAGAAAGAGCGCGAAAAATGGGAGAAATTCGTGTACTGAATCAATTGCATAGCAATATCGTAGAAGAGAATATAGATCACAGTTAGTATGACTGCAATATTTCATATATTCACACATAAGAACAATTTAATTGATTTGTTTCTGTTCTAGGTTCTGATTTGTTGTTAAGATACAAAGAGCTAGATAAGGACGTAGAAAGACTGAACGAATGGCGACAGAATCACGTAGACACAAGGGAAACGTACTTGCAAATGAGCAACCAACTTGCACAGAGGCGACGACAGCTGATCTCAGAATTGAGTTTAATATATTCTATTAGACAGGTATCTTCCACAAAACAAAATTAAATTGCGAAACTAGATTGTGTTGAAATTGAATGGCTAATATTTTTCTGGATCTTACAGGATAGTGCTGGAAAGTTCAGAATAAACGATGTTTATCTGCCAGACAGTGAAGAGTTAGAATTATCAAATGATACGCAAGTGGCTGTGGCGTTAGGTTTCGTTGCACACACGACGCAAATGATTGCGAATTTTCTGAATGTACCGACTAGATATCCCATCATACAATACGGCTCACGCAGTAAAGTTATAGATCACATCACAGAAAGCTTGCCCGACAACGACAGACAGTAAGGATGCTTGTAACTACCTATATTCGCAACTGATGGATCTATGCGTGCACTATCGCTAATGTAACGTTAATGTAATGTTATTTTTTAGGTTTCCACTGTTCGCTCGAAGCAAGGACAAGTTGCAATTCCATTACGCCGTATACCTGTTGAACAAAAATATAGCACAACTTCGGTGGTATTGCGGCCTTCCAACTACCGATTTAAGAGCAACGCTGCCAAATCTCGCTACGCTGATTAACATTAAACCCAATCAATCATAGTACGTATATCAGACACGATGTACCGATCTGATACGCGTTGATTTTGATTACAATATCTTGTTATTCCATACAGTTTGGACGATTCAAAACGAACATTTTCTACCTCATCTTTGGATACCGACGGCAAGCAGAATCCACCTCTCACACCACCATTGCAGAAGATTATTTTCGAGAAATGCCATCGCTCCTCTCGATCAATGAGTCAATTAAAGAGTATAAAGTCGACACTCGGATCTTCCTTGGATCAAGGTCTAGACAAACCTGTGCAATCATCCTGTGCGTTAGGCAGACAGTCGAAGCGTATTTGCAAATCAGAGGAGAGTGCCATTGACAATAAAACCTTGGTACTGGCTAAGGACAGATCGAGCAATAGTAGTAACGAGACATTAAATAGTGCCATTCTGAATAATATCGACGATTTAACTCTTAAAGATAATTTTGTCGAGATTAGCGATAAGGTTATTATTGAAAGTAACATCGAGATCATGATACCAACATCGGTTTGTAAAGCGAGGAATGTCCCGGACAGTTTGGAAAGTTCCGTGAGTGCTCGCGACAGGAGTTCGAATTCTATAAGCAGCTGCGAGATGGCCCTGGGCAGTAGCCAAAACGACGTAGATGAGAGTACGAATGGTAGTTATATCGCTCGAAGAGAGGAAACCGACGATAATGTGTTCTCGATGGATGACACTTTAAGAAACGTCAAAGACGCGATAGACAGCGCATTGAAGAACAGCGAGTACGGCAAAGGCCATTATTCCGGAAACGATATCTCACAGAATTACGACACGAGTAGTACAACTGTCAGCGAACAAAATAGTAGTAGTATTCACGAACAAAGCCCGCTTATGGAAACTGCCATTTATAGCAGAGAACATTTCGCTAAATCGTGCTTATCTCTGGACGATGTGTGTACTTATGATGAATCCGAGGGGAAGCAAAGAACGAAGTCCATTTGCAGTTATCCGGAAGAGTGTACAAAGGATATCGTGTCGCAATCGAAGTACAGTCCTGAATCTAAGTAAGTAAATGCAATTGTATATGTATGAATTAATAATTTTTTAATTTCACGAATGTGTACGTAATAACTTCTCTTACAGAGTAGAGCAATCGGATTATCCTCAACATGTTGAGAAATGGTCTCCGAATATTGTAAGAAACGAGCCAATGGTAAATTTCAGATTAATGCTTTCTATTCTCACGATTTCCAACGACAGTAGCTAACGAAGTTTTATTTCCAATCTTTAGGTGGACACGAGATCAATTTTAAGCGTATCAAAGTCAGATTGCTATTCCTACGATGAAGCGAAATCGCAGTGTGACATACAAACATCGAGCGAGTACATAGACATTATTAGGCGTAGCTCGGAAAACGTGTGTGCGCGTACCGAAGCTTTAGCCAACAAGAAAACTAGTTTCAAAGTAATGAAACCACGTCTCTAATACCTGCCTACATCATAAAACTGTGCCCTAATGATACGTATAAGCACCAAAGGTTTTAAAGAGTTAAAAAAGAAGATGAAATGTTCAGTATATATATCTCAAAGTTACGCAGCATTGCTTACGTATATCGGTAACATGATAAAAAGTTTTATTCAAGGTTAATTTTAATTAGAGAATTGTTACAAAAATATTTATATCTTTTATTTAATCGGTATAATGAAATGACGTTTATTATAAACGTTGTTGTAAGCTTTACAGCAAATTATGGAGCCAATTATGATGCGATTATCTTGTGATAAAAGTTATGTAAATCTATTGTTCTTCAAACGAACTTTTTTCTCTTTTTCCCGTGTTTGCGCAAACAACACTGAAAAATATCATTGATATACAACAAAGGGATATTACTGGATAGAACGATGCATATGTAGAACTGATAGTTCCTCTATGACTGCGTATCTTTGTACATGTGATACAAATGCGAGGACATTATTATTATTTTACACATTCGTACTGTGTGCACTTTAATGAAACTTTAGTTGAAAGTAATCGTAGTCGATAATAATATCAGGTCGTTTTTTTAGTTTGATAGTAAGATGTATATATGTTTATTCATACGTTCTATTAAGTTACGATTCTATTGTAATATACACAAAGTTCATACTGTTACTATCTCTGTACGAAAAAAAGCATTTTTATTAAATTGAGGTAATATATAATACACCGTAAAGTTTGTACATATTACAGATACTCTAGATTTTTTCACTGTACTTAGCTCACGTAAAGAATTCGACTAATTTAGTTTTCATGCTTATGATACAAGCAATCGAGCGCATCAATATAGCTAATTATATTTTTGCCATCGACAGCGTTAAAATATACCGTAAATTTATGTATGAGGACCAAGCAAAGTACTAAGCCACGTGATCGTTTAACGAAACGAATATGTAATCTAATTAGACAAACGCGGAAAAGCAACATGAAAGAATTGTTCGCAAAAGGATTTCCTTGCGAAACTCGTTAATAACGGACTATTGCAATGTGATAAATAAAAAAAAATTGTCTATCTAAAGACACGAAGAAAGTGAAGTTATACCCTACGTTTCTACATTTCCTGCATCTGCAACGTAATTGTATATTATTTTTGTTTTGTAAAGAAATTTAATTCAGTTTTTATATTCATTTTTGTTTATTAATTTGGGTATTTTTTTTACGACTTTGGTAAATTACAAGCGCCAAATTTTCTCGAGGGTGAGAGAGGGTTTAGATAGCATTGTTGATTTTTCATGTTGCTCAAACCTATTTTGCTAATGGCATCCACATATTCAGAGCAGCCTTTGAATGGCTCATCCCAGAAAGAACAAGTTTCTGGAACTACGAATAATCCAATATATAAACATGACGTATTTTTATTCTTATTATCTTAAAGAGAATCTCAACAGATGTTTATTTATCATGTGTCATATTTATATACATTTCGTATGTATAATTTTTCCGTTTACTTTTTAAAAGATCCATGGTCTTGGCAGGTTCAATTGTTGGATCTTCCATAGCTGAGTATCTAAATCTAACCGGATCTCTGTAAGGCTTTAAATCAATGATTGGCGTAACAAGTGATTCAATCGGTAATTTTACCGCAGTCATTAAAGGCCTGTACTGTGCAACAGGTAAACCTAATATGAAATGACTTTGTATCGTAATAAATAGAAAACGTAATATATAGATTCTTTCAGATTTATTATAATTACAATCTTCGGATAAACATTAGGAAACTCACCTCTTTTTTTATAATCCGTTTTGTAAACGCTCTTCATCGTCTCGTCCATGCCATGAGCACTGTCTAACATCAACGATGTGAGATTTGTCATTTCACGTTTAATTTTTATTAACTCATCCTGAAGTCGACGTTCCTTATCGGCCAGTTGTTTGTATCTGTAAAACGAAATAAAACTGGTTAGAAAAATTTATGAAATAATTATCAGCGTAAAAGGAAATGGATTCGTAGATAAAATAATACAATAATTTTTGGTTGGAAAATTACATTGTTATTACAAAAAAGTTTGTTACAAAAGTTTCTAATATACCTAGTTTTTTTGCTTTCCAAGCCGTGAACATCACATATACAATCTTCCGGATCGGGTCTTGGAAGATACAGTTGAGTACAATCCATCGGTGTGTGTGTGTTCACTGCGATTTGAGAGGTTTCGTACAAGGCCAATTAAATTTCTCTTGTTATAGTAAAATTTTGGCACATTTACTTTTAATTCATAATTAATAACTCCAATAAATTTGACATTTCACACTGCTGAATTTATGAGTTTTTTTTTTAGAATAAATCACAATGTGCCTGCATCAGGAATTTTCAATTTTCGAGAAAACATCGGAAAACATCGACTAAACGGAACAAGGCAGGGATGGATCCATGCAGGATAGAGCGTTGGTGGCACCTTGTGAATAGTTAAATTTTAATATTCTTCGAAAAATCCAGACGATACATTCTTTCACCAGCACGATCGACACGACTGTCGTTCTGTAGAGCGCATAATGCAATATCGCATTTAATAGCACAATTATGACACGTGCGACGAACGACTCGGTTGTTTTTTCAACGTCGACCATTTTTTAAATATATGTAAATTTTAATTATATTTCGTGTTGATAAATGTCCCTTTAAAGTCAATCAGATATTCAATAATTTTCATTAATTCGACGTTTAATTTAGTGATCACATATTTTTTATAATTATGTACGTAACATTTTGACCAAGCTGTGAAATATATATAACTGTAACAGTGTGATCTGAAGTAGTCGATATTTTTTATGAATAAAAATTGAATATCGAGCATGTCTCTTTCTTTCAGTCACATTGTATTTTCTAAGTTTATTATTTTTCTTTCTTTTTATATTGCAATTTCACAAAATGTTTCAAAACAGAAACATTATTGTTCATCAACATTCATAAACTCTCAATTTTCTATTATTTTATTGAAATTAAATTAAAACATTTTTCGTTGTATTCAATGTATTAGTTGGACACAGTTAACACCGGTAAAACTTTTTTTTTCATTTGATGTAATTTAACTTTCATAATGGTTTGACCGATCTTATTGATACTATCTTGATACTCCGTTTTCCAGGATGGCAATTGCGCCAATCTTCCCTCGATGTCCTCGCACGGCTTTCCGCGTTTCAATGCATTCTTTTGTTTGAAATCGTATTTCCGAGCACGCGTGCTTCCGTTATACTTTAAAGACGGGGGACGACATTGTGGCGGGCAATCAGCTTCTATCGTTATCTTTATTGGCACACGGCATTGCAGCTGTTGATCGTCCATATCACGGATCCTGGACAGTTGTGTCATACGTGCAGCTGCTAAGGAAATATAAATTTAAATGATGCAAATAATAATACGGATAATATAAATAAATTTCTTACGTCTACAAGATTTTCAAGATATTCTTACCAGGATCACTGAAATCGATCTGATACGTCGTCTTCATACGATCAGCCTCTACTCGCGAGGCTCTTTCCTCCAGCTGTGCTTTTTCTAACATTTTATAGAACTCGGGACATTGTATTTCGAGCTGTAAAAATTGAATAAAAACTTGCTCGCGTTATTTCTTACAATTAAAATAGTTAAAAAATAATTTTCAACATTTACTGTTTTTACGCAACCGCGCGGCTGATCAAACGGTGTTTTATCTACTTCCTGAATCCTAGGCTGAGTCTTGGGATAAATCTTCGGCTCTGAGAGCCATCCCGTGGGTTTCATACGACTTGAATCAAAACACTCTTCGACTTTCACATCTACAAGCTTTTTAAGCGCTTGCCGTGAGTCGGTGCAAGTGCAACTTTTAAAAATCGCTGTTGGCGATTTAGGTCGACGTGCAGCCGACACTAGAGGCGAGGTGTAGTCCCGCTTGTAGATCGAAACGTAATGATTCATTATGACGATGGTTGAATTTCTGAACGGCGTACAGATGATTTCTGAAAGCTTTACGAAGGATCTTCGGAGATCTCAAGCCATTGTTATGTATTTTTTCTGATCTTGTCGATGTCACCAGAAATAAAAAGTTAATGTTAAACACACATATAAAATTTGCAATTATTTTCATTTACCTGCCAATCTGTCGTCCACATCCTGCAGTGATAGATTTTGAACAATCTAAATATTTATTCTATCATTCCAAAATTTAATGTGTCCTTTATTATTTAATGCCATGATAAATTTATATTTTATGATCTTAACTTTATATTTTTATACTGCAAATTTTCGTACATTTTCGGTGTAGATTTATGTCAAACGGTTAGGAATGAATGTAGATCGATAGTTAATTTGATACGCGAGAAAACGCTCTTCAAATTTTTGCCATGGTACCACAATGATAATCAAGAATATTATATCAAAACAACGGGGATACTTAAAAAAAATTTCATTAATATTTTAGAAAATGTCACTGTTCAGAGTCAAATATTTTTTTATATACAAGCTGTATTACATTAGTAGAATGTGCAAATAAATCTATAACTAATTATTGCGGTAACAAAATCGACAATGTCTTGTTAAGAAAAATCAATAATTTCTACAAAATTTTTGCCGCGCGTATAATCAGTGATAAAATGAATTTGATTGCAGATCGTAACGTAGCAAGATAAATAAGCTTCGTTCAGTAAATATTCAGGTCGAGTATTACTGTTCGCATTCGGCCGTATTATTACAAACAAAAGCGCAAAGTAGCAACAAAAGATGGCACCGTGGACTGGAAATTATTATATTTGGCACGATGCCATTTATATGAAAACTTATTCATCCCCAAATTGAACATCGCGAACGGTTATTATTAATACGAGAGATAATTACGTTATTTAATGAGTTCGCTTTAATTTTCTACGACCAAATATCAAACTGCGTCGTTGTTGCATTCATCAATTTTAATATACTATAATACTGAGGCATAATTATCTAAGGATCTTCGGACAATGTTTGGATTTGAAAGTCGATTAAAGAGAACCGTCTATTTGATCCTCACGCATACGCTTTTTTCATCGACATTTGGCACCGATCCAAAGGCAACAGATAGTTTAATGTAGAGCCGGAGATGATGAGGCTGTGCGTTTCAGCCACCGGCTGCAATCGGCGGCACGGTAAGGACACACGTCCGCTTTATTTAGATACGATTAGAAATAACGTCCCGACACTACTTCCGGAATCGCAAATTTACAAACTGCCATGTCAAGATCTTTCTTACCAATCCTTTCATTAGTATTCAAACGAATTTTGCTTATCTCCTTAAGACTTTGTACGTCTGAGAAATCTACGAGTCTCAAATCGTATAACAATAATAATCAATGTTTTCATTGTAATTTTCTAAAAAATATTGTCGCTTTGCTATGTGAAAAAATTGTATTTTTAATTACTCTTAATGAAAAATGTTAGATACGCTGTCTCTTTAAATGTCAACAATGTATGTGTAAAAGAATAATTTCTATTATTCATTCACGGCAAATATAATTTACGCCCGACAAATAAAATTTATTAGATAGAAAATTTAGTGTTGAAATTTATCTGAGTCATACGACTTCACAGCTTTCCCATTTCGCATCTTGCATTTTATCTTTACGATCTGTTCCATGATCGTTCACAAATGCGAAAACAAAAAGTGCAAAGTGACAAGTAGGCGAGGCGTTTTAACGTTCGGTAGCGGATCTGCAGTTTCCGTTGTACGGAGTAAAATTTTTGCCGCTATAAAACTCGAATTGCTTTTAAGAGCGTCGGGTATTTCAACGTCGAGAATTTGTATGCATTTTCGCGGATTATTATAAGAATTATGACGTTACAATTTCCACGGGAAAATGGAAACGTCATAAGATTTTTATTTTCGACTAGTAATAGCGTAGCGCGGAAATTAAGGGCGCCGCGGGGGTGAACGCAAGGGGATGGCGATCCGATTTAGTCGGTATAAATCATCCGCGTCCGCGTCTCGTCTCGTCAACCAGCACATTTTCGATCCGCGAAGGAAGGAAAGCTCGGAAACGGACTGTACCAATGGTCGCTCTAAAGATATCGCTGCGTCCACCGCCAGGAATAGAACCGTGACGTCGTCGCTGAACACGTCGACGAAAGAAGACGGAGTCGTGCACACACATGCCGACGTGTTCGCCGACGGCTTGGCCAACGGGATCTACGGCCGGTGTGGCATAGATCGGCCCTTTGGATCGCATCCCGTCAATTACTCTGCTTATTTTCTCCTCCACGCAGATCACAAGCTCGATTCTCCGTAATGCGACGTGAGATCGCGCGAGGCTCGCGCGATGCAGCGCGGAGGACTAAATATTCTTTGAGCAAGACAAACATTTTCTCAGCGTAATATTTTTTATTCGAAAAAATAAAGCCATTATTTATACGGAGAAAGCAATCTCGAATTCATTTTATTTACAGCCTGCCGTCCGCTAAACGCGATAAACACGCGAGAGAAGGAACTTTCTACGTTACACCGTCCAATTTCTAGTCTAGCTGCCAGGCAGATGGGGAGATCGAGACTTCGACTATTCGTCGCCGATGACCGCTTCTATTAAAGATGGAAGAGCTGGGTGGGTGGAGAAGAAGCGTTTTGCGAAATCGCGCAGTTCCACGAAATGGCTTCTGTAGACGCGGCTGTAGACGCAGCAATGCGGCATCGCGTGTATCGAGATAAAAGGAATGATTTCAAAGAGGAAAAAAAAAATAAATCAGGAGATAAAGAATAGATGAAGCGAAACGAAGCGCGCGCAGGACGCGACAGAGATTTACGGCGCGTTTTATCGCGTCGCCTTTTCCCGTTTTGATCCAGTCGCGAACATTCGCGTGCGGAGGCAAGAAATTGCAGAAAAGTCTCGACGCGGCACGCCGTTAAAAATCACGCCGACACGTGCGCGTTCGCGCCGTAAATTTTCAGACCGGGAGCAAATTATTGTTCGAGCGAGTTAGCGCGAGATAGTAATCGGCTCTGACCAGAAGCCGTTAATGTGATTTATAAGCTGCGTTCCTATGTTTCTCCTCTCTTTCTTCTCGGTCGCGAGATTCTCAGTACTTCTGAGAGTCGCGACGACGCGAAGGGAGAAAGAGAAAAAAAAAATATTGTTGACAAAGAAGCCGAGCTGTATGTAGAGCGCAATGTGTCGCCGAAAAGTTAATGGGCTGGATTTAATGGCGCGTCGCATTAGTCGCATCAAAGTGTTATTATCTCGAGATTCAGTCTAATTTCAGCTCCGGAGAATAAATATTCTTTGTTAATCCTCTGTGGATTTTCTGTGCTTAATGAACTTTTCCAACTACAAAGATTTCTACTCACCAGGTAGCCAGTAAATCCTTTCTTTCAGTAAATATTTGTTCATATAAATTCTTTCTCAATTTTGCAAACAATTTTTCATAAGATTCTTTTTTAATTAAAGAGTTGGAAATAGAGTTGCGTATATTGTTTTATTTCATCTTTAAAGTGGATCTCACGAATGACTGATTCGGATTTCTTCTGCTGAACGCTTTATCCTTGCAAATCTGCAATTAATTTCAAAATTAAAAAAAGACTCGTCCATGCAAATTCTACTTTAAGTTAAGCGGAACAAAATTATACGTAAAAAAAAAAATAAAATATTTTGCGTCACGAACTGTTTATACAAAACTCAAATACTCTCGATATTTCGCCAATAAAACGAACGAATAATTTTTCTTACTTTAGTGTTAGTTATTTTCGTTATCGCGCATTTTCTACGACATTGTTTAAAATTAACTACCATTTTTTAATTAAATGTTACAATCAGTGTCGAAAGAATGGATCAGACATCTATAAAGGGAACTGAGACACGGTGCGTTCTTCGGCGCTTTTACCTCGACGCTACGATGGTGACGTTTCCACGTTCGTGTCGTCGTGGTTTTACGTCGGATGACACGCAGGAAACGTTCACGCAGGTGTCCTGTCAAATTTATGTTAGGGATTCGCATTGCCACAGACGACGCGGTTTCCAATTAAATGTTTGATATAGAGGTGCGGTGTCTCACCGCGATGTTTTGACTTTCGCAGCGAGACCCGCGCATTCTCTCGCACAAAACGACACGGCAAAAATAATTCACGAGAGCAAAGAGAGAGAGAGAGAGAGAGAGAAAGAGAAAAAAAGAGAGAGGACCTTGCAATTCGTAGAATGGCGAGAAGTCGTGCGCGTACAAAGCGTAAAATTACTGGCGCAAAGCACTCCCGCTGAGTATGATCAAGAGTGCTTTTTGTCGAGCGTAAAACGTGAGTCGAAAAGCCTAGTGCGCAATACCCGAATAAATAAGTCCTGGAAGTCTATCCTCTCGTTACCGCCGCTAATATCGCCGCTATGCGAGGCGATCTTTGCGCGAAATGGTCAGAAATAAACGTTTCTCTTCGGGAGATTACGCCCGGATGGCAGGATGTAAACGAGCGTTTATCACCGCTTCACCTTAAACGAGTAAGCGAGTTTAATCCGCGATAGGCGGGAAGGGTTCTCGCAGATAGGGACCACTCGAACACGAGGTCTCTATCTTTGTCGTTCGTCGGTCGTATAAAGCTGAGAGAATTGCCGTCGTAAAGTGTCCACGTCGCACTTAAGCTGCCTGCGTTTGACACGGAACGTCAAGTCGACGTTGTCACGCTTAATCTTTTTATTAGATTAGTAAATTTATATATGAGCGTAGTTGTCATAATAAAATTAGTTTTGTCAATGAGGCAACAAACAATCGCATACGCTTATTTTTATGACAATGTAAAACAATGTAATGTATTTTTATAAAATTGAGAACGCGCCGCAGTGTGGCGATTTTTAATTATTATAATTATAATATCAAAGTGGTCGTTTATAGAAGCTGATGAATCATAGCCGACGATCTCATCACATCAACAGTTATCTTCTCCTTCGTTACTAAATATAGAATTCCCGAATCATCTTTCGCTTAAGGAAACACGAATAAAGTGTAAATTTTTATATGCCAAGAAGCGA